TGAAGACAGAAAGCCATGGATCGTTCCGGATGGTAGGATGTGGTGAGGCAGGCCAGTCCCTACATGGGTTGTAGCGCCACTGATGATGATAATATATATATATATATATATTGATATTTTAACAATATTTATCTACCGTGAACTTAGGGCAGTAGGCGGACCTCGTTTTTTGAGCAGCTATGAGATATGTGATACAATTTGGCTCCCATTTGTTTAAAATCGTGTTGTGGACCATTTTGATTTGAACAGCCAATAATATTTTAATGATGAATTTTGTCCCCCTCTTTTAATCAAACAATTTTCATTTAAAACTCGAAGTTAAGTTCAAAACGATTTAAAAAAAAAAATCCTTGGTTATATCTACACTCACGACCAAGTCACTTATAATATTTCAGATGAACACCAAGGAAGAAAACTATACCATTTATTAGATAGATGACAGTCCTTAGAGCAGCGAACGATACAGAACATTTTAAAAGTATATATTATAAGACATAGAGAACTACAAGCCGTGGATTTTCCCTTTCTCCACAGACTCAAGATCTACGGCACAGGACGGTTAAGACAGGACGTTGACGGTCTCAATTCTCTGGTGTACAGCGTAGATTGGTTGAGGACCTCTCAAATATACACGTGGATTGGGATAGGGTTCAATGAGACGGCGGTTATAGAGGTGACCCTTGTAGACCTGGCCTTTTGAATTGTGTCAGGTCTAAATAACTTAACTACGGCAAACACGGGATTCATATGAGCGTTGTTTCTCGCAACGGAAGTTCAGATTCACATCAAATTATCACAAGAAATATCAGATTAAATATCACATCAAATTATCACACGAAATATCAGATTAAATATCACATCAAATTATCACACGAAATAACATATTAAATATCACATCAAATTATCACACGAAATAACAGATTAAATATCACATCAAATATCACATCAAATATCACATGAAATATCAGATTAAATATGACATCAAATATCACATGAAATATTACACGAAATATCACATCACATTTTACATCAAATATATACAATTTTTCATTCTTTCACTCTCTTGCAGGCTGTACCGGCGCATCTAAGAATGGCAGATAAAAAAGATTTGAACTACGCGAAAGCCAAATTTATCATAATATCCTAGAAGTAAACAATCACACACATGTACTACACTTGAGTCACGTGTTCTATGATTGCATAATATGGTTAAAAGATAATGACTTTTTTTTCACACCTCATTTAAGAAACACGAATCATGAATGCATCTGTTTGATTGAAGTAGGTCGTGACCTACTGTTTCGGGATCACTTAGTTAGAAGTAGGTCGTGACCTACAGTTTCGGGACCACTTTGTTAGAAGTAGGTCGTGATTTAAAGTTTCGGTACCACTTTGTTAGAAGTAGGTCAGTGACCTACAGTGACGGGACCACTTTGTTAGACGTGGGTTGGTGACCTGCAGTGACGGGACCAGTTTGTTAGAAGAAGTCGGTGACCCGCAGTGACTGGACCACTTTGATAGAAGTAGGTCGTGACCTACAGTGATGGGACCACTTTGTTAGAAGTAGGTCGGTGACCTACAGTGATGGGGCCACTTTGTAAGAAGTAGGCCGGTGACCTACAGTTATTGGACCACTTTGTTAGCAGTCTTGAGGGTAATCATCTTAAATAACTGATTTTGTGCCTGGAAGGTAGCGATCTTAAATAACTGATGTTGTGCCATGAAGGTCGCGATCTTAAATAACTGATGGTATGCCTGGAAGGTAGCGATCTTAAATAACTGATGGTGTGCCTGGAAGGTAATATATCTTAAATAACTGATGTTGTGCCTGTAAGGTAGCAATCCTAAATAACTGATGGTGTGCCTTGAAGGTGGAGATCTTAAATAACTGATGGTGTGCCTTGAAGGTAATCATCTTAAATAACTGATGTTGTGTCTGGAAGGTAATATGTCTTAAATAACTTATGTTGTGCCCTTAAGGTAGAAATCCTAAATAACTGATGTTGTGCAATGAAGATAGCGATCTTAAATAACTGATGGTGTGCCTGGAAGGTAGCGATCTTAAATAACTGATGTTGTGCCTGAAGGTAATCATCTTAAATAACTGATTTTGTGTCTGGAAGGTAGCGATCTTAAATAACTGATGTTGTGCCATGAAGGTCGCGATCTTAAATAACTGATGGTGTGCCTGGAAGGTAGCGATCTTAAATAACTGATGTTGTGCCATGAAGGTCGCGATCTTAAATAGCTGACGATGTGCCTGGAAGGTAGCGATCTTAAATAACTGATGTTGTGCCTGGAAGGTAATCATCTTAAATAACTGATGTTGTGTCTGGAAGGTAATATATCTTAAATAACTGATGTTGTGCCTGTAAGGTAGCAATCCTAAATAACTGATGTTGTGCCTGGAAGGTAATCATCTTAAATAACTGATGTTGTGACATGAAGGTAGCGATCTTAAATAACTGATGATGTGCCTAGAAGGTGGAGATCTTAATTAACTGATGTTGTGCCTGGAATAATTTTAAAAGTTATAATTTTTGATACTTAAATAGAAAAAAATATTTCAAAAAGCCTTTAAAGCCCAGTAAAAAGTAGAAAATAAAATAAAATTGCCTAAAATCATTAAAAGTCTGTGCAGAAAATTTTTCAAAACTTATTAATGATATACTTTTTTTTTTAGTTTCTTCTTTATTCAATTCAAATCCTTTTTGCCCATGGAGTGCTCATCTACACACTGCAAAATCTCTCTTTGCGGAATGCGTTGCAAGATATTTGTTTTAGTGGGTTTCAAGTCGTCTTAATGGAAAGTATTTTTATTTAAAAAAAAAATAATACATTCTAAAGATTTTCTTTCTACTAGCATTTCCAACTTTGGTCGAGCATTTTAATTCCATTTTTTTTTTGAGCGGCGAGTGATGGGGAAATAAGTAAAGTTTAATTTTTATAGCCCGTTTTTTGAAAGCATTCATTCAACGTATTCTGCGTTGAAAATAAGAAATTTAAAGAAAATTTGAGACCCTCATTATCTACTTTGAAGTGCATTTAAACTTGTCTTCGAAATTTAAAAGAAAAAAATTTCTTAATATAGACATTTTGTTCTACTAGAGTTTCCATTTTGTTTGTACGTCATATTTTTTTTTTGGCACACGCGGCTCTATCGCTTAGAGGATCGTCTCGCAGCAACTGAGTTGTGTCAACATTGCGTCTGTTTCGTTGAGTGAACGGCGTGAGAAGGGGTGTAAGGTATGCTCATGTAGTGCTTTATGATTTGGGTGGATAAAAAATAAGTTACTGGGTGATTTAAAAATATATACAGATTACAATTTTAATGTCTAGTTAAAGTAAATTTTAATTTAAAAAAAAAGACTTTTTATCAAAAGACATGTCATTTTGTTTGAACCAATATAAATTATAAAATAATTTAAATTTCTTAAAATTCATTTTGCAAATATAATTAAAAAATTCTTAAATTTCGTTACGGAAAGGAAATAATTAAAAATTAATAGAAATACAACATATTATGTAAGTTTTGTCTACATTCAATTGGAATAGACTGCTCATCTGTGTTTCTACAGTGTATTCCTTTGTGTAGTGAAGTTTACAATTAATTTTCTCTGCTTTATGAAGGCTTAATCTCGTCCTTGAGATAAAGTTTAAATTTTTTAAAAATTCATGTTCGACAAATTCAGTTAGGATGTCTTTAAAAAAACAAAAAAACAAGAGACGTCAGCACAGTGGATTTGTTCAAGTTCGTTACACCCTGAACTTTTTTTTTTTTTTTTTTACTTTGGCGCCAGTTTCTCATGGTTCAACACAAACACACACACACACACTCACACGCACACACACACATATACGTAGAGAAACAGACACACACAGACACACAGAGAGACAGACACACACACAGACACAAACACAGACACAAACACACACTCAGAGAGAGACACACACAGCCACAGACACACACAGAGACTCACCAACACACACACATATATATAAAAGTGCCACCAGGGTTGGACTGCCTCCCTCGTCAACCACACATATTTTTTTTTAAATTATTGATTTTTATCAATTTACCAGACACAACTTGACCTGGCCACACCGTATAGTACTTCATATTAACAGGTGGGATTTAATTGTCTCTTTATCGTTTGCATTATTTTGTGTCCTTGCCCTTAGGCAAAGCAGTTACGATTTTTTTTTTTAAATCGAATTCTCTTAGAATTTTAGAACAGGTTTTCTTTGTTTTTCTTTTTCATTTCGGGAGAACATAAGCATAAACATGGCGTCATCGAAAACTAAAAATGAGTTTAATTCAAACCAAATAATTGGGACCGGGAAATCTTCAACTGGTGTAACTGAAACCAAACAGTTGGGACAGGGAAATCTTCAACTGATCTTAAACTGATGCAATTGAAACCAAACAATCGGGACAGGGAAATCTTAAACTGATGCAATTGAAACCAAACAGTTGGAACAGTCAAACCTTAATATGACATCAATGACAACAAACGACTGGGTCAATAAAACCTTATTATGGGTCAATGTTCACTAAGCAATGGGAAGAAGGGAACCAAGCAAAAAAAAAAAAAATGGAGACATGGAAACCATCCAATGATGCCATCGGAAATTCAAAACTGGGTCAATGTCATCCTCATTTGGGGGGATCGGGTACCAAAGTCATGCATCTTGATTCCAAAAAACTGGCTACCGATGTATTTAAGATCTTTGTCAACTAGTGTCTAATGTAGTAGTCTACGAGATTTCTACATTGGGCCATTTTAAAACCTATTTACAGTCTGACCTAGATATTTAAAAAAAAAATTAATATATCTTTTGTAGTAGCTATTTTAGTTTGTGATTTTAGTTTGGGGGGGGGGGGGTTAGTTTTTCAATATTAGAACCGCTGCTGGGTGTAACGATCGCTCATTTGTTGGATTCAATTGTCTATCTGCATACTGTGAATTTTGTCCTCCATGGCGTAGGTTGAATGTTGAATGTACCTTGTGGTATGTTGGGGGCGCGTGACTGGGAACATGATATCAACACGTGAGTAGGACCTGTCAGTTATTATTCATAGAATTATACCAATCGAAAAAAAATAATTTTTGTTTGTTGAAAGATATTTATCACATAAACATATTTCAATAATGCATACCTGTACGATAAAAGCGTTTAGCTCTAAGATGTTTAAAATAAAAATTTTCAATCGGATTTTTTAGAATATAATTCACCACACTTTCCTGTCCTACCCACTTTCCTACCCACAACAGTCCAGCCAGGATATAACGATAAAAGAAGAATTGTGTCTCTAACTTCGTGACATCAGAAATATCATAAGAACAGGTTGGTCTCACTGGCCAGGATAAAGTCAACCAAAAAAACAACCAAAAAAGTCTTGTAAGGACATATTCCCCCGTGTCTCTGGAAACGAACAAGACAATGTGATGTGTTTTTTGTTGCTGTTTTTTTTTTTTTGGTCACAAAAATGCTCATATGCCTTGATGGTCTTGTGGTGATGCCAAACATTCCTGGATAACATTCGTACCACAAGCTTTTATGTTGTGATTGCTGAAGAAGATTAACACCGCATTACAGTTGAACTTACATCAAACAGGATCCCAAGCTCAACATCGAAACCCTGCCCCCAACCCAACCCCAACCCCCACCCATTTTTCAGCGGTGTTCTATAGCCAGGTATGGTAGGGTTGTTAAATGTTAAACATCCTATATACCGAACCAGTTGTTAAAAAAATTCAAAACAAATAAGCCAATACACACATTTTAATGCGTTGGTGTTTTTGTATGATCTACAAGTACCGCATTGCTGGTTGCTGGATTGTCAGCCCACTGCTGCCAGTTCATTACCTCCACTATCCTGGCAAAAAATAATGTTTTCAACCAATCCCATCCATTTTTTCCCCTCCAACTTTCCCTTAGGTTTTTGTTTACTTGCCCTTTTAGTTGATCACATTACTTATACAAGTTAACGCTCATCATCCCAATGTTGGTTTCTCCCAGGCCATTGTTTTAGCAGGTGCAATACCAGATCTGTGCGTGTCATAAAGGCCACGGCCATGCTCTTCGTCGCGGCCATGCTTTTCTTAGCTTTGCATATGAATTTCTCCCACGAGGCGTCTCAACAGAACCTGCACAGGGCGGCCCCCATCTCCTCGCCCACCACGATCAGCCAATCAACTGTTCAGATTCGCAACGCGACTCGTGATTTTCTCCCGACAAGCTCTACACCAATGAAAGACGAACTGATAGAAACGGAATCTGAATTTGTTGACGGCTTTCAAAGACATGAAGTAATCGCCTGCAGCGATACCAGCGAGGAATTTAGGACCGATTCCAAGAGGATAGCTTTGGTCAACTCACAGAGTGGTGTACCGTGTCCGATTCGACCACCTGCCTTAGGTAAAAAAAATATATATCCATAGAACTAACGTATATACTCGCACGTAAGCCGAATTTAGAACTGTAAAATACAATACTCAAATCAGGGGGTGGGCTTATATGCGCATAAACAAAATGGACACAAGGACAGGCACTAATGCCAAGTTTCCAGCCACACTATTTGTCTAAATATATACTTCGTTAATCATTAGTTGTGAACAACTTATGAGCGGAAGTTCAGATAGTATTATAGCAAACAATGTGGAAAGAGCAGAACACGTTTTTGTGTCATTCCAAAAGGTAAACAAACAGGTATGTAACATAAAATAAAAGTAAACATTTTACATCTTTACAGTAACAAAATTTCTATGAACCAAAAATATGGAGTAAAATTATACAATTGTATGGTCGGCTTATATGCGGGTTTTTGCAAAAACTGGCCATTTTAAAGCAGTTTTAGGGTTCGGCTTATATGCGTTGTAGGCTTATATGCGAGTATATACGGTAACTATTTGCTGTACATCAGGGGAGAAATGCAATATTTTATAACGTGTTAAATGTAGCCAATGCCAATGTATTTCACTTACCCTACTAGTATTTAAATAAACGGTATATTTATAGTTTGATAAAGTTTTTTTTTTTAAAAACATGTTTCGAACAGCTGGAAGGTTCGTACCCTCAAAAAAGAGTTCTACGTATCACGAGCTAGCCGCCATGTTTCCCGATGTCCAAGATGGCGGCCACTACACGCCCCGGATGTGCACGCCAGCAGAAAAGACCGCCATCATCATCCCGTACCGGAACAGGTGTCGTCATCTGTACACACTTCTACCTAACCTGATTTCGATGTTGATGAGACAAAACGTGGACTTTACCATCTTTGTTATTGAACAGGTGAGAAGGAGAATGTTGTTGAACAGGTGAGACATAGAATGTTATTGAACAGGTGAGAATGGGTTGTTATTGAACAGGCGAGGAATGTATTGATTAATATTTAATAAATGGAACTAAACAAATATTTAGCACCTTTTTTAAAAACTTGAAATGGTGAAAAATATTATTTTAAGATTTTTTTTCCGAAGCAATATAATGTCATATCTGATGTCATATGAGTTTGTTTTTAAAATATATTAAAATTGAATATTGCTTACCTTAACTGATAAAATTCGAAAAGCCCTCCCAATTTTGTTAAAACTTGTATTATTCAGAGTTTTAAATGAATTCTAATGTTCATAACAAAATACTCTGAGGAATAACTATCATGGGCAGCTACTATCGCTGGAAAATAATATCGCTTGAAACTACTACCGTGGGATACTACCATATTGGGCAACTACTATCATGGGCAACTAATATCTTGGGCAACTATTATCTTGGGAAAATACTATCTTGGGCAACTACTATCTTGGGCAACTACTATCTTGGGCAACTACTATCGTGGGCAACTACTATTTTGGGCAACTAATATCTTGGGTAACTATTATCTTGGGAAAATACTATCTTGGGCAACTACTATCGTATGCAACCACTATCTTGGGCAACTACTATCCTGGGCAATTACTAGAATGGGTAAATCCATTCTTTGGAAGGAAAAAACATCGATGGCAATAACAGACACGTCAGACAGATTAATTAAGTTGATCCCAGACAATAATCTGTCGTCTTGGCAGACTACACCCGAGACTTTCAACAAAGGGATTCTATTCAACGCCGGATATCTCGAGGCCCTGAAAGTGGATAACTACGACTGTTTTATCCTGCATGACGTCGACATGATTCCCATCGATGACCGGAACATGTATAGGTGCAACAAGACGGGACCGGTGCACTTCTCTCCCGGAGTCAACAAATTCAAATACAAGTGAGCATCCATATGTTTGAGTTACACACATTTTATAACTATGTAAACTGTTATATTAAATTTAAAAAATAATTTAAAAAAAATCAATATTTCAGAACTTACTTCCCATATCCTCGATATTAAAATAACATTTCACAGTTCACTTAATATTAACTGCATACTAAAATATGTTAACTTTCTTCAGTCAATCACTGTCTTAAATTTAATTGTTGATTTTCAGACTTGTCATTATTTCACTATTTGTCGTTGTTTCCTTTTTAAAAAAAAATTTAAAACCATTTTTGGCTTATATCAATATAATTATTTTTATGTCATATTTTGTCTTCATTTCACTAGTTGCCTTTATTTCACTAGTTGCCTTTATTTCACTAGTTGCTTTATTTAACTAGTTGCCTTTATTTTCACTAGTTACTTTATTTCACTACTTGCCTTTATTTCACCAGTCGCCTTTATTTCACCAGTCGCCTTTATTTCACTAGTTGCCTTTATTTCACTAGTCGTCTTTATTTCACTAAGTTGCCTTTATTTCACCAGTCGCCTTTATATCTCCAGTCGCCTTTATTTCACCAGTCGCCTTTATTTCAATAGTTGCCTTTATTTCACTAGTTGCCTTTATTTCAATAGTTGCCTTTATTTCACTAGTTGCCTTTATTTCACCAGTCGCCTTTATATCTCCAGTCGCCTTTATTTCACCAGTCGCCTTTATTTCACTAGTTGCTTTATTTAACTAGTTGCCTTTTTTTTTACTAGGTACTTTATTTCATCAGTCGCCTTTATTTCATCAGTCGCCTTTATTTCATCAGTCGCCTTTATTTCACCAGTCGCCTTTATTTCACCAGTCGCCTTTATTTCACCAGTCGCATTTATTTCACCAGTCGCCTTTATTTCACCAGTCACCTTTATTTCACCAGTCGCCTTTATTTCATCAGTCGCATTTATTTCACCAGTCGCTTTTATTTCACCAGTCGCCTTTATTTCACTTTTGTCGTTATTTAATTTTTTCTTAATTTTACTAGAGTTGTCTATGTTTCGCCGATGTCTATTTTGCAGACTTTTTTATTCTGGTCTGTTTGGGGGCGTGGTGGGCTTCACCAGGGAGCAGTTCAGGTTGATCAACGGGGCGTCAAATCTTTACTTTGGCTGGGGCGGTGAAGATGACGATCTCAGAAACAGGTAAGACGTGGTGTCGTAGTGCTTAAGACGTGGCGTCATAGTGCTTAAGACGTGGCGTCATACTGCTTTAGACTGTATTATTGTGGTAAATATATGTTTTGAGTTGAATACTGTGTTAAATTATGTATTGTATACTGTGTTAAATACTGTGTTAAATGCTGTCTTAAATAGTGTGTTCAATAATGTGTAAAATAGTGTATTAATTACTGTGTTAAAATGTGTTAAATACTGTGTTAAACACTGTGTTAAATAATGTGTTAAATAGTGTATTAAATACTGTGTTAAATACTGTGTTAAATACTGTGTTAAATACTGTGTTAAATACTGTGTTAAATACTGTGTTAAATACTGTGATAAATACTGTTATAAATACTATGTTAAATACTGTTTTAAATACTGTGTTGAAACTGTGTTAAATGCTGTATTAAATAATGTGTTAAGTACAATGTTAAATACTGTGTTGAATACTGCGTTAAATACGTGTGAAATAAGGTATTTTTTTGTTAAATATTGTATCATTGTGTTAAAGACAGTGTTAGCGTGTTGAAATAAAGTGTTATTGTTTTCAATCCCTATGTTAAGGGCTGTGTCATTGCATTAAAACTGTGTCCTTATGTTTAAGAGAGTGGTGTTGTGTTAAAAAGCTATGTTATTATGTTGAATTATAATGACAGTGTTTTTGTGGGGTGAAAAGAGTGTTAATGTGGCGAAGACATTGTTACCTTGACAAAGACAGTGTCCAATTGATGAAGACAACTGTCACTGTGTTGAAAACAATGTCATTGTTAGGAATTATTATTTTTTTGTTTCCTCTAAAAATTAAAGAGGCCTTTACTGTTTGGTAAAGTTTGAGAACCTGCTTTGCCACAAGGCTGTCTTGAGCTTTTTATAAACAATTTTTTTTTACTCTAGTTGTAAAGTTAACGATTGTCTGCGCCGGCAGGTAACGCCCCGCAGGAGGGCGATCAACATTTTATGTTCAGTAGGTCACAAACACGATTAAAACAACAACAACAAGAACCTGCTATAGTTATCATAGGATTTAAGTGTGGGACATGCTTTGTCCACGTTAAAGAACAACAAGAACCTGCTATAGTTATCATAGGATTTAAGCGTGGGACATGCTTTGTCCTTGTTAAAGAACAACAACAAGAACCTGCTATAGTTATCATAGGATTTAAGCGTGGGACATGCTTTGTCCACGTTAAAGAACAACAACAAGAACCTGCTATAGTTATCATAGGATTTAAGTGTGGGACATGCTTTGTCCACGTTAAAGAACAACAAGAACCTGCTATAGTTATCATAGGATTTAAGTGTGGGACATGCTTTGTTCACGTTAAAGAACAACAACAAGAACCTGCTATAGTTATCATAGGATTTAAGCGTGGGACATGCTTTGTCCACGTTAAAGAACAACAACAAGAACCTGCTATAGTTATCATAGGATTTAAGCGTGGGACATGCTTTGTCCACGTTAAAGAACAACAACAAGAACCTGCTATAGTTATCATAGGATTTAAGCGTGGGACATGCTTTGTCCACGTTAAAGAACAACAACAAGAACCTGCTATAGTTATCATAGGATTTAAGCGTGGGACATGCTTTGTCCACGTTAAAGAACAACAACAAGAACCTGCTATAGTTATCATAGGATTTAAGCGTGGGACATGCTTTGTCCACGTTAAAGAACAACAACAAGAACCTGCTATAGTTATCATAGGATTTAAGCGTGGGACATGCTTTGTCCACGTTAAAGAACAACAACAAGAACCTGCTATAGTTATCATAGGATTTAAGCGTGGGACATGCTTTGTCCACGTTAAAGAACAACAACAAGAACCTGCTATAGTTATCATAGGATTTAAGCGTGGGACATGCTTTGTCCACGTTAAAGAACAACAACAAGAACCTGCTATAGTTATCATAGGATTTAAGCGTGGGACATGCTTTGTCCACGTTAAAGAACAACAACAAGAACCTGCTATAGTTATCATAGGATTTAAGCGTGGGACATGCTTTGTCCACGTTAAAGAACAACAACAAGAACCTGCTATAGTTATCATAGGATTTAAGCGTGGGACATGCTTTGTCCACGTTAAAGAACAACAACAAGAACCTGCTATAGTTATCATAGGATTTAAGCGTGGGACATGCTTTGTCCACGTTAAAGAACAACAACAAGAACCTTCTATAGTTATCAAAGGATTTAAGCGTGGGACATGCTTTGTTCACGTTAAAGAACAACAACAAGAACCTGCTATAGTTATCATAGGATTTAAGCGTGGGACATGCTTTGTCCACGTTAAAGAACAACAAGAACCTGCTATAGTTATCATAGGATTTAAGCGTGGGACATGCTTTGTCCACGTTAAAGAACAACACCAAGAACCTGCTATAGTTATCATAGGATTTAAGTGTGGGACATGCTTTGTCCACGTTAAAGAACAACAACAACAAGAACCTGCTATAGTTATCATAGGATTTAAGTGTGGGACGTTCTTTGTCCACGTTAAAGAACAACAACAAGAACCTGCTATAGTTATCATAGGTTTTAAGCATGGGACATTCTTGGTCCACGTTAAAGAACAACAAATTTGTACCCCCCTTCCCCAACACAAAGTTTAAAAAAAAAAGAAAAAAAAAGACGTATATCGAAACTCTAGATGAGGGTTAGAGTTATAAAGTAGATTAAAAGCAGAAAGACGATCCTGGCCCATATTCGTATGATGTTGTATGTTAATGTTTACATTATGTTGTATGACCTTAACGTCAAAGTCCTCCAAGTGTCCTGTTTGTCCCATCGCCCCACGCCATTCTATTGAACATGGTATCCCTCATATCGGTTGTGGTTGAGCTGACCCAATGCTGTACCTGTTGATCCTTCTTGTTTTTGATCGGGATGATGCTAATAATTATATGCCGGTGTATAGTATTATACGAACAGTGGGTCTCACAGTGGAAGCAGGGTAGCCGGGTCATAAGCCCTTGCATAGCATCCACGCAGAACTGAAACTTATATAAAAACGCATTACGAAGATCAAAACAAAAACCGCTTTGGGTTACACAAGAGGGTGTTCTCAAATGAAACCGCGTGTTCGAGGGCTCTCAATCAAATTCTCAAAGACCCCGTATTTATATGTATGGGCGCTCATAATAACAATTTATTTAGGCTAATGGCACTCGGCCCGTTCGGCCCCAAGTCACGCTAATGGAATTGTTAAGAACGTTATGAATCTGCCAGCTTGCGTGACTCTGTCACGTGAATCTGTCAGCTTGCGTGACTCTGTCACGTGAATCTGTCAGCTTGCGTGAATCTGTCACGTAAATCTGTCAGCTAGGGCGAATCTGTCACGTGAATCTGACAGCTTTCAAGAATCTGTCAGCTTAGATGAATCAGTCAGCTGGCCACCAACCTTAACTCTCGATTGCAGGGCCGTCCACATGAAGTTGCCACTGTTGAGGAAGACCTTGGTGCACGGCCTGTACGACATGGTGAGCCACGTAGAGGCAGGCTGGAATGTGAACCCGCACAGGTGAGACCCAGGTGTTCACACCTGCTAGTTTAGACCGTGTATCGATCGAGACGAGGGCTGTGAGGCTGCTGGGGTGATGTCGCTGGTATCATCTTTCATATGTCCATGGCGTGCCTAATGTTTGTAGCCACTGAAGTGTGGTTGTCAATGTTCACATATAATCATCGTTAACGCTCCGGACTGTCTATGTTCATACATCCCTATGTTATTTATTAAAAAAATTTAATAACATATGGGACATTATTTTAAAGTAAATGATTTAGTGTAGATGTTAAAATTATCATTTCACACTGGCACCTTGTCACTGTAACAATCTTATTTATTTCGTGGGAAATACTACAACATTGAAGGCATTTTAATTCAATCATTGATTATTTTCCTTTTGAAATGCAATAGCCATAAAAACATGGTTTATTGTAATAGACAATAAGTAAAAACACTTGAAATGGAAAATAATTTTAAAAAAATTTTGACAATAGAACTGTCTTTTTTTAAACTTTTTATCAATACTGTTTTGTTTTTACCAATTTTAAGTATTAAACTTTTACTCTTTATATTACCAGCAAAGGGGCGCACAGCCTGTATGACATGTTGAACAAGGCGCTTGGGGTACATGCAGGCTGGAACGTGCACCCGAACAGGTGAGACCCAGGTGTTCACACCTGTTAGTTTAGACCGTCCTGACAGGTGAGACCTAGGTGTTCACACCTGCTAGTTTAGACCGTCCTGACAGGTGAGGCCGAGTTGTTCACACCTGTTAGTTTAGACCGTCATGACAGGTGAGACCTAGGTGTTCACAGCTGTTAGTTTAGACCGTCCTGACAGGTGAGACCGAGTTGTTCACACCTGTTAGTTTAGACCGTCATGACAGGTGAGACCTAGGTGTTCACACCTGCTAGTTTAGACCGTCCTGACAGGTGAGACCTAGGTGTTCACACCTGTTAGTTTAGACCGTCCTGACAGGTGAGACCTAGGTGTTCACACCTGTTAGTTTAGACCGTCATGACAGGTGAGACCTAGGTGTTCAATCCTGCTAGTTTAGACCGTCCTGACAGGTGAGACCTAGGTGTTTACACCTGTTAGTTTAGACCGTCATGATAGGTGAGACCTAGGTGTTCACACCTGCTAGTTTAGACCGTCATGACAGGTGAGACCGAGTTGTTCACACCTGCTAGTTTAGACGGTGTATCGATCGAGACGAGGGCTGTGAGGCTGCTGGGGTGATGTCGCTGGTATCATCTTTCATATGTCCATGGCTTGTCTAATGTTTGTACACGCTGTATTGTCGTTGTCAATGTTCACATATAATCATCGTTAACTCTCCGGACTGTCTATGTTTATATATACCTATGTTAATTATTAAAAAATTTAATAACATATGGGACATTATTTTAAAGTAAATGATTTAGTGTAGATGTTAAGATTATCATTTCACACTAATGCATTGTCCCTGTAACAATCTTATTTATTTCATGTGAAATAACAATACAACATTGAAGGCATTTCAATTCAATCATTGATTATTTCCCTTTGAAATGCAATAACCATGTAAACATTGTTTATTGCAATTGACAATAAATAAGAACACTTGAAATAGAAAGTAATAAACACTTTTTTTTGACACTAAAACTGTCTTTTTAAACTTTTTATTAATAATGTTTAGTTTTTACCAATTTTAAGTTTTAAACTTTTACTCTGCATATTACCAGCAAAGGGGCGCACAGCCTGTATGACATGGTGAACCACGCGCCTGCGGAAGGGGCAGGCTGGAACGTGAACCCGGACAGGTGAGACCCAGGTGTTCACACAGTTAGTTTAGACCGTCCTGACAGGTGAGACCTAGGTGTTCACACCTGCTAGTTTAGACCGTCCTGACAGGTGAGACCTAGGTGTTTACCCCTGTTAGTTTAGACCGTCCTGACAGGTGAGACCTAGGTGTTCACACCTGCTTGTTTAGACCGTCATGACAGGTGATACCGAGTTGTTCACACCTGCTAGTTTAGACCGTCATGACAGGTGAGACCGAGTTGTTCACACCTGCTAGTTTAGACCGTGTATCGATCGAGACGAGGGCTGTGAGGCTGCTGGGGTGATGTCGCTGGTATCATCTTTCATATGTCCATGGCGTGCCTAATGTTTGTAGCCACTGAAGTGTGGTTGTCAATGTTCACATATAATCATCGTTAACTCTCCGGACTGTCTATGTTTATATATACCTATGTTACTTATTAAAAAATTTAATAACATATGGGACATTATTTTAAAGTAAATGATTTAGTGTAGATGTTAAAATTATCATTTCACACTAATGCATTGTCCCTGTAACAATCTTATTTATTTCATGGGAAATAACAATACAACATTGAAGGCATATTAATTCAATCATTGATTATTTTCCCTTTGAAATGCAAAAGCCGAATAAACATTGTTTATTGCAATTGACAATAAATAAGAACACTTGAAATAGAAAGTAATAAACATTTTTTTTTGACAATAAAACTGTCTTTTTAAACTTTTTATTAATAATATTTTGTATTTACCAATTTTAATCTTTAAACTTTTACTCTGTATATTACCAACAAAGAAATTATTTTAAACTTCTTAACAAAATCCCTAAAGTCTTACAGCTCTCGTATGACCACCCCTACCCAATGCTCATTCCTCCGTTCATCGAACGGAGCAGACGCGATGTTTACACATATCAGAATCGACCATTCAGGGGACCACGCGACGGACTGAGCGATGGTCACGTGTGTCGACAAAACAAAAGCATTACGTCAAACGAGCGAATGAGATGAGAAGGCGGTAAGAAAGAAATGCTTTGGAAAAAAAAAAAAAAAAGAAGAAGAAAAGAAAATTAAATTCTTTATAGAAGCTAAAATAATAATAAATGAAAAAACAAAAGCATTACGTAAAACGAGCGAATGAGATGAGAAGGCGGTAAGAAAGAAATGCTTTGGAAAAAAAAAAAAAAGAAGAAGAAAAGAAAATTAAATTCTTTATAGAAGCTAAAATAATCATAAATGATTTCTATTTTAACGGCAAATCCTGCATTTTAATAAATAAAGGAATATCTACCAATGCCATTTTAAATACCTGTGTCGCTTTAATTGGACGTTAATATCATAGCAGCCACCCATGTATCCCCAGATTTAAGATCTACAGTACAAGCCGGCAAAGACAACACGTCGACGGTATCAATTCATTGGTGTACAATGTCACGTGGTACAGGACGTCGCCATTGTACACGTGGGTCGGAGTCGGATACAATAAAACCGTCATTACGAATGTGAGTGTTTGATCACGTGATGTGTCCTTTTAGGCAGAGGGGTGTTGGGGCGGTGAGGTCATTAGGTCAAGGTTGGGTGAGTGTTTAAACACGTTATGGGTAATTTAGGTAGTGGGGTCATTTTAGAGTAGATGTTTTGTGAACGGAGAGCTGCTGTGATAGGATCCTGTCAATGAAGAACTGTTATCGTTACTATCATTGGTCATTAGGTACCCGTTTGGCTTAGACATGTCCTCAGGTTAAGTCTAGCTAATATGGATCCTTAGGTAATGTTTGGGTAGGAATGGTCCACAGGTTATGTCTGGTAATGAAAGGCTCTTGTCTCTATTTTAGGAAAGTTTCGCCCATAAAATGGGTAGGAAATAGATTTTATGTACATGGGAGTAATCAATGGGTAGTAAATAGATTGTATGAGTTAGTAATCAATGGGTAGTAAATAGATTGTATGAGTTAGTAATCAATGGGTAGTAAATAGATTGTATGAGTTAGTAATCAATGGGTAGTAAATATATTGTATGAGTTAGTAATCAATGGGTAGTAAATAGATTGTATGAGTTAGTAATCAATGTGTAGTAAATAGATTGTATGAGTTAGTAATCAATGGGTAATAAATAGATTGTTTGTACGAGGGAGTAATCAATGGGTAGTAAATAGATTGTATGAGTTAGTAATCAATGGGTAGTAAATAGATTGTATGAGTTAGTAATCAATGGGTAGTAAATAGATTGTATGAGTTAGTAATCAATGGGTAGTAAATATATTGTATGAGTTAGTAATCAATGGGTAGTAAATAGATTGTATGAGTTAGTAATCAATGTGTAGTAAATAGATTGTATGAGTTAGTAATCAATGGGTAATAAATAGATTGTTTGTACGAGGGAGTAATCAATGGGTAGTAAATAGATTGTATGAGTTAGTAATCAATGGGTAGTAAATAGATTGTATGAGTTAGTAATCAATGGGTAGTAAATAGATTGTATGAGTTAGTAATCAATGGGTAGTAAATAGATTGTTTATATGAGTTAGTAATTAATGGGTAATAAATAGATTGTATGAGTTAGTAATCAATGTGTCGTAAATAGATTGTATGAGTTAGTAATCAATGGGTAGTAAATAGATTGTATGAGTTAGTAATCAATGGGTAGCAAATAGATTGTATGAGTTAGTAATCAATGGGTAGTAAATAGATTGTATGAGTTAGTAATCAATGGGTAGTAAATAGATTGTATGAGTTACTAATCAATGGGTAGTAAATAGATTGTTTGTATGAGTTGTAATCAATGGGTAGTAAATAGATTGTTTGTATGAGTTAGTAATCAATGGGTAGTAAATAGATTGTATGAGTTAGTAATCAATTGGTAGTAAATATATTGTTTGTAAGAGGGAGTAATCAATGGGTAGTAAATAGATTGTATGAGCTAGTAATCAATTGGTAGTAAATATATTGTTTTTAAGAGGGAGTAATCAATTGGTAGTAAATATATTGTTTTTAAGAGGGAGTAATCAATGGGTAGTAAATATATTGTTTGTAAGAGGGAGTAATCAATGGGTAGTAAACAGAGGGCACGCGGGAGGAAGTAATATTTTATAAATTCGGAGTACAAATACATGAAAGTACACAATGTAATAGTTTCCTCTGTGTTACCACTCCACTTTGGTTAGAGTGCTCTAAAATTATTAAACGTCTTTTATTTTTTTTTTTATAATCTACTTTCAGAGCATCCCAGAAGATTTGAGGATTGGCCCCAAAGCTGATAACACGTATTTAACGGGCAACTTTACAATAATTTCATAATATTAAAACAAATATTTGTAAAAGATGTTTCTTGTGATAAAAAAAAATGTGGATGAATAGTATCAAATATGAACGTGTGTCTTTATGATTGAAGAACATTTTTAAAAATAAAAATCAAACCAAAAATAAAAAAACAAGAATGAGCTTTGTATTTCTACAGACTGCATTAAGAACAACCACCATTGGTTAGACATGTGTTACGTTCTGTTTAACGGGTTAGACGTTTGAACTTGTTTAACCCTGACTTGTAAACAAAACAAAAACAGTGCGTATAAAAGAATCAAATACCCCAAGGTTCAAAGGAATAATGCTGAACAAAAAAGTTAATAATCATGTTAAATCTGACTTGGGCTAAACTAGGTAGTAAAACTACAAGCAACTGATTTAGTGTTGAATGCAAGAATCAGATAACTTAAAAAAAAAAGAATTAAAAGCCCTACTTTAAAAATGTATTCACTTAAGGAAGCAAATGGAAGTCTAGTGAGATAGTAAGATAGTGAGCTAGTGATACATTAAGGAATTCACGCACAGCCCACCGGACAGCCTTACACCTGTTATTCAAATGTAGCGCCAGTACAGTGGGGACGATTATTGTGACCACCGGTTATCAGGATCAGCTGCTTAATACAATTGAACAACAAAAGACAAGTTTCAAAGTTATATAAGTCTCTGCTTGGTTTCGTTTATTAGAATAGCATTTGGGGATTTTTAGAATGAATCACACAAAGGGGAACGGACATTATAAATCTTAAAGCCATTCGTTTTCGGCAAAATGTCGTCTGCTAATCAGTTGCGTACCTTGACAAAATGCAGGCGAACACACAAAAAATAAATTAAAAAATGCACTTTTGGTTTTGTGGCCCCTGCATCCAAAGTTGACAGTTTTATCCCCCCCCCCCATTCAATCGTTGGGGTCACTAAAACTCTGCATTATGTTTTAAAAAGCCGAACCGTTATTTTACACAAACTCGTCCACTTGAGATCTTTTCACTACACCTACTGACAACCCACAGCTCCAACGTCATGTTAGCATCTCTAAAAAATTATTGAAAAAAAAAAGCTTTAATGTCTACACTTTTCGAGATTTTGTATTTTATTGCTAGGAGTGTAGCCGTTCTTTTTCAGTGCAGAAGAGCATAAGGAATTGAAGTCAGTGACCCGAGCCAAGGCTTTCATCCCCACCACCCCCCATCGGGAGTACCCAAGAATCTACACCCTTTTCTTAGAGGAAGATGGAACGAAGTGGCTCCACCTGGATGTTTCGTCTTGATGGCGAACCACACGAAGAGGATATCAAAGAGAATGCTCGCCTGGTGTTGCTTCCTTTACTTTTTTTGTCTCCCCTTCCACAGTTTGCACTGCGTAAAGATTTATACGAGAATGCTATCAAACTGACTACATGACATGTCTTAAGAACTCAAAAATGCAAATTATTTTACGAATAGATATTATTAATATAATAATATAAATAAAAGAGTTAAACAAGGCTTATAATAAATCGAATGATTACAATGGGGCATCCTAATGGATTGAAACACCTTAAGAAAATATGGCTTCCTGTCGTCTTTGAGTCACCACAGCTCTTCCGAGGTACATAAAAAATGCAGATCTCCCTATTTGATACACAACTGCACCGCATGCTGCGTTGTAATTAAAAGTATGGTTTTTTATTTCTTTTACGGTGGTATTTTCTGATGTTTGGGACATTTAGAAAAAAGGGGTGGGGGGGGGAAGGATCTCTGAATGTGAAGAAGTCGTAAAATTTTGGGGTAACCAATAAACCTTTGTTCCCCGCATAGTGCTCAGCTCTCTCGCATGGTGCCCAGCTCTCGCATGGTGCTCAGCTCTCGCATGGGGCTCAGCTCCCCATTGTGCTCAGCATTCACCTATATCATGCACAGTGGCCACATCACGGAAAACGGCTCGACTTGCCGGAAAAAAAAAACAGGTTGAAGGTGTTCGAACGTTTTCAGTTATTGTTTGGTAATCAGGGATCGTCCCGCATGGCATATCTGAATCCGGAGGACTCCAAGGAGGAATCACTAGTTTGTCATTTTAAACATCCATCCATCCTAGTTTTTTTTAAAAAATCATCTCCAAAGCCCTGTGGCGAAGCGGAAGGTGTGGGTACACTTGCAGTTGACGCAAACCTGAAATTAAGCCGCTCAAACCCTAGATTCGCTCATCACTTAAGTGGTTTCCATCGCCCCATTAGGCATTTGAGCAATAAATACTCTTCCGCAAGTCCCCACCAATGACGAATTGGAAGACACCCCCTCCACTTTTCAATACCTAACTGAGAGGCAACAAGCTGTATCCTTTTTATTGAGTGGCCAAACGCCAGGTGATGCTTCCATTCCAGCTGAAACTTATGATGAACGGGTGCACAGCTGTGACTGAAAGGTTTCACCAGATGTTCCTACTTATGTGGTAGCTAGGCAACATACCACAAGGTTTTAAGGAGGCTGCCATTGTCCACTTGTAAAGGGAGCCGTCAGTCCTGTAACCACTACAGTGGCCTATAACTAGTTACTCTACATTGCAGGCATGATACATTTTAGAATCCTCATAAACCGGATGGATTCGCTTCTTGAGAAGAGTCTACTGCCAGAAAGACAATGCAGTTTTCGCAAAGATCGGTGAACTATAGATCTGGTGTTCGCGGCCAGACAGCTGCAGGAATAGAGTCATGAGCAGAATGTTGACCTCTTCTCCGCCTCTGTTGACCTAACAATGGCTTTCGACAATGTCAGCAGAGTCGGTCTCTGGAAGATCATTGGCCAATATGGATGACCGAAAAAGTCCGAAAGGGACAGGCAAAGAAACCGAATCAGCTGAGTTTGAATCTCATCTGAACGGTGCTCAGTATTGCATCCCTCTTAGGTGTGCCACCTTGTAGTAGCGCTAGACATGGGTGATGGTAAACAAAAAAAGTTACATAACTTAGTATATTATTTCACAGTATACCTGTGCAAACTTTATAATTCAAGACAAAGAAAAAATATTATTGATATAATTAAATTAATTTTATCACATTGAAATTATTTATAGTTAGAAAAATATTTGATTAGGTCGCTAATAAAGTTTATTATTTAAGAATAAATATTTTAGAAAAAAAAATGAAAAACATGTATGTTCCTATTTTCTCATTTTCGGTTTTAAGATTTACCGCTTTAAAGACTCAAATAATCCACGGAAAAACGTGTTTCCATTAAACGACGCCTACTGTAAAATATTAGGAATATGTTTGCAAGGTGTTATTTTTAGATCATGGGATTTTCTGACTGTACTTGTCCTTGTCACTGTTAACAGATTCGTTTAGTTTTAACTGTAAGAAAGAGCTTCTTGCTGTTGCCTCTCTCGCCAGTAACAGAAAGGTAAGTTACTATGAGTTATTTGATGAATTAAAAAGAAATGATGTTGAATAGCGCCTAAAAATTTAAACTGTGAATTGTCTCTAATAATCCCATATGTGTCCTAACAGCCTAACACATAAATATTAGATTACGACGAGATACATACTGATTGATAAGGATAATAATAAATAATTAAGTTGATATTACTGAGTGATCAAAAAACAAATTAAGAAGACATTATGAGATAATCATATGTCTTACCTTGAGCCTTTTGTACAAACATTGACATAAAGGAACATCTATTGACGTGCAAACAAATTGTGATGCTCTCATCAGGATGTTTGTTATTTCAAGTATTCACATCTAAGACACGCATTTAATGATTTGGGTGGCACGCATATGAAACTTAAGGAGTTTTCTAATTAATACATTCGTAAGAAGAGACAAAGACGATATATCAATTTTAAAATATACGAAGAAAAGGTCAATATTTGTGTTTTGTTCTATAGCTATACAATTGTTTATAATAAGTCATGGGTTAACAAGATGCATTGCTTCATTGTGAAATGAAAAAAAAAGTTAAAATTAGATAAATCATGCATGTCTAAATAAGCATAAACTGGAATATTAAATAGAACAACATATTCAACTATTAAAATTTTGTTCTTTATTTTACTAATCGAATATTCATAATATCCCACCAAGGTTCAGATTTTGCTGATGGCTATGGAAAGCACATTGCAAGTCACTGTGTGCAAAGAGACCAGTCTACTTTTACTAGGCAAAACTGGACATGGTAAAAGTGCTACAGGAAATACTATTTTAGGGCGAATAGCTTTCGCAAAATCAGACAGAGCCAGCTCAAAAACAATAAAGGCCACATTAAATTGTTCAGATAGGGAAGATGGCACCCGCATTAGGGTTGTGGATACACCTGGTGTTATGGACACCGAGATACATAATGACCAGACACTCCCTAAAATTTTCGAGGCAATGAGTTTGTGTCCAAACGGATTCCAGGCGCTGATTTTGGTCACAAAATTCGGCATCAGATACACAAAAGAGGAAAGAGACACTTTGGAAGTTTTGAAAGAATATTTTGGATCCAACTTTCTTAAAGACTTCGGTGTTGTCGTCATGACGCAAGGGGATAATTTTGACATCAATCACGAAAAGGATAAAATCACATTCAAAGATTGGCTGGAGAAACCAGATAAAAAAGAACAAGATGACTCCTTTGCTAAACTTCTCGCAGAATGCAACCACAGGTGTGTCCTGTTCTACAATCTAGGAAAAAAGTATGATGCTAAAAGAAAACTTTGTGTAAAAGAACTTTTAGAACTTATTGATGTTGAAATACCCACTCCTTATAAAAGTGAACATATTGAGAAGGCAAACGCAATGAGGAGAAAAGTTATTACAAAACTGAGGACACCCGTGCTATGTACAACAATACAGGAACAACTGAGCCTGCTCATTGAGCAGATTGAGAGAGACATACAAGCCGATACATTCTCATATCGAGTCATGTTGGCAAAGCTCCAAAAACTTGATGAGGAAGTTGATAGTGTTAGAGGGGAATTAAAAGAAACACCTGAGACATTATCTTTGAAAAATTGTATAGAATCTTTAATAGAAAATCTGTATGCTATGCATTTAGCCGATGAAAGAGAGATACAAAGGGCTGAGCTAAAGGAAATGTTAAAAAACTTAACGATGCTGAAGGAAACTTCTGATGAAATCGATGTTTTTTTCTCGAGTGAGTTTCATATTTATGCATCATTTTTGAAATCGACTATTCTAAGCCTCGGATTTCCAAGCAATTTTTTTCAAAATGTTGAAACTGAATCAGAAAAGATGTTTAACAAATCGTTAGCTAATCTGAAACAGCAAAGTGATGAAAATAATGACGCAAAGGAACGTCAAATAAAATCATAATCGAGTTTATACATGTCCACAGAGTGGTCTTGAGAGTGCAAAACAAACGTGTTTTTTTGGAAACCTGAAGTATTAAACTAAATGGACTGGAAATAAAACGTAAAGGAACTTTTTCTTAAGTCTACACATAGACAATTATATCATGTATGCAAATTAAAATCTCTTACACACGAAAAGGGACAAATAATATTTAAAACTTTAAATCTAAATGATTATCATACGTTAATGTGGTAATGCAACTATTAAAACATTTTTCTTCCAAAAGTGCTTGTATGTAAAAAGTTTAACGAATGCTGTATTTCCTTTAAATATTCAGGAGAAAATCTTTTAGATTAATTCGATAGTGACAGTGGTTATCGATGACGTCCTAATGAAAATTTAACACACATAAAAAAAGATTTCTATTCAACACCTTCTTTTCTTTATGCCTTTTTACCCGTCCGGGGCATGGGCTTTCCTCAATAATTTTCCACTCATCACGGTCCTGTGCTTTCCTTTCCAATTGTTTCCAGGTGTATCCCATAGTTTGCATGTCCGCATCTAGCTCGCGTCTTCGTGTATTGTTAATGACATTTGAAGAATGGTTGCGGAAAAGCAGCTTGTGAGAACAAACAGAGTGAAGCATTTGACGAGCTGCTGAAGGAGTGCAACAAAAGATGCGAGGCGTGGTCAAGCTTTTAGACATTGTTGAACACATGTCTCAGGTGTATACGATTGATCATGTTAAGTTGGTTAGCCAATCGCGAGAAGTGTTGGTTACAAGACTTGGTGCACCTGGGTTGGACACAGGGGTACAAGAAAAACTGAGCCTGCTCATGGAACAGATTGTTTGTTGTTGTTGTTGTTCGTCCGTCAAAGTCGACTAGGACCATCGCGTCAGCCGGTTAGGGCGAGGTTGGGATTACGGTGAGCTCGTAGGTGGCTTGCTAGACCGATCCTTGCTCGGAATAATCTATGACACCGTGGGCATGGAATAGTTGCTTCAGGCGGTGACCTAATGTTGCTCTTTCGGACAAGCCTGGGTGTCTCAGCTGTGGTTATTCTATAAGCTTCATTGGATTTAGCCCCCTTCTTGACAGCAGCTCTCCACCTGGCTCTGTCCTGGGCTGTCAGCACCCATTGAGTAGGGTTTATGCTGAAGGCCTTTAATGCCACTTTCAGTGAGTCTTTGTAACGCTTTTTTTGACCTCCTTGGGAGCGCTTGCCTATCGTTAGTTCTCCGAAGAATAATTGTTTCGGGAGCCGGTGGTGTTCCATACGGGCTACGTGTCCCATCCAACGGAAAATCAAGTCCTTTAATTTTTTATATCTCACACGGTAATTTCAATATCTTATGATTGAATGATTCATTTTAGCTGCAGAAAAATATCAAAAGAATTAACTATTTATTAAGTAGAGAAATTAGGGCTCTATTGATAATATGTAATTTAAGTTATTGCAAGGCAAAGTTTTTTCTAAATTCAAGTAACTGATACGTTTATTGATAAAAAAATATTAACTTTCATTTAAACCTGAAATGGTGTGTTTGATCAAATGATTTTTAAAACTTATAATTGGAGGCTTCAAAAACTGTACATTCTATTATAAAATTAATTCAATTTAATGTAATTTAATTTTCACTTTTAATGTTCTCTCTTATGTATTCTTAGATTTTTAAAGATAGTTACAAAATTTAGTCTGATATAATTACGTTGACACATTGTCTAATTTTGATACTCATCATTTTTACATGTACTCCTTGTGTGTTTGTGTTTTTTTTTTTTTTTTTTTTTTTTTTTTTTTTTTTTTTTTGTTTCTTTTTTTTTTTTTTTTTTTTCTTTTTTTTTTTTTTTTTTTTTTTTTTTTTTTTTTTTTTTTTTGCGTGTGTTCCTAAAAAATATTCAAAGACTTTCAATGCAATACATAAGACGTTGTGTAAAACTTAATAAAATTAGTTGATTATTGATAGAGATTTCATGATACATTTGTTTAAAAACTGTGTTACGTTTACTTAACTAATGCTATATGGAACTTTTGACATCATCTCCTGTTAGGTCATTTGTTTCCACCGGGTGGTAGGATTTAATCACTAATTGAGTATTCCTTGCTGACTAACACCACACGCTCACATCCAATGGCACTCTCACTCGCACACTTCTATTAACACTGTTTCTATAAGACTAAACGAACACAGGTGGTTCAGCCCAATTAATAAATATTTAATTACAAGTAAAAAGTACTAAATGCATACATGGTATTACATATAACATTTTTCTCAGTTGAAAGACCCATTTCCAATAACTGCCCCAAATCGTTATTTCCCCTCTAACTACTGTGAACACGCGACGAATAGTGATGCAACATGGACACATGAACGTACGCGTTTAAAATGCTGGAATCGTAGTTCTGTTTATAGTCTATACATGTACTATATTTTAAATTCAAGTAACTAACAATACATTTACCAATTACTGTAAATATTATTTCCGGTCCATTGTTTGTAAAAAAAAACAAAAAAAAAACCAAAAAAAAAAACCAAGTATTTTCCAACTATGTTTAATAAGGTGTTTTCCTTAGCCAAGACGTTTTATACCCATAAGTACTTTCTAAAAGAGAGAACTGAACCTAACTTTGGAGCGATACGAAATAAGTAAAGAAGGCCTATCAAAATAAAAAAAATATTAATAAATTCGACTGGAGCGGTTTGAATCAGGGTTTCTTTCAGCTATATCTCGGGGGGGGGGGGTAGGCAGTGCCCCCCCCCCCCCCTGAAAAAATTTTTTAGTGCCCCCCCCCCGAAAATCTGAAGTGCTCCCCCCCCCCCGGGGGACAATTTCTGAAAGAAACACTGGTTTGAATATGGCGCGCATTTTACAATACCCGTTTTTAACAGGAGCGTCCCCCAACAATGAATTGATTTCTGGCCTGCTTTGTGTGACCAAATAATAATAAAATATCGTTCGAGTTTCTCAGCTTTGGCGACATCTGAGTTCCTTTAAACCCACTGAAATTTTTCAAGTTTGAAATCCTTCAACACAATCAGAGCAAGTCTTGGGCGTTTACCAATTTTAACGCAATACCAAAAAAAACCTCTATAAGAGGGAAAATGTTGAATCAAATCAATTACAAAATTGCAATGATTGGGAGAGAAACTGTAACACGTTATGTAGGGGGGGAAAAAATCAGGATACCCACGGATGTGAGACCTCCATTGATGTGCGTGACTTTCATTAAAAGCGATACAGGTATCTAATCAAACTCCAAACGTGAGATAGAATCCCAGGAAGACGTCAGTAAAGGATCAATTTTTTTTTTTTAAAAATCGGCCACTCGCATAACATTGTTTTAGTGACGCCGCAGCGCACGATTGCTGACACACTTAGTTTTGGGAAATCAATCCTCTCTTATACTGGTTGAAGATGATATCTTCTTGATAAGTATTATTGGGTAAGTAATTAATTGGTAATTCTGTTCCAACAAATGGCAAGCGCTTTGCACGCGTTTCACACGTTCTTATATGATTTTATATAACTGTTTAGAAATTAAATGAGTTTAAACCAAAAATTCCCCCCCCCCCAACTCTCCCCCTCCCCCCTCCCCCCCATTAAGAAAAAAGTAAAAAGAATAGCATCAGTACTTGCGGGTTGAAGGAATTAGAAATACCTTGGTTAACATTTTAGAAGAAGAAAATGAATTCTAATAAAACGCACGTTAACTTGCGATTACTTCCATTAGGTTGCGGCCATGAATGTAGAATGCATGCAAACCATTCATGTCATTTGGCATTGTACCACGAGAAAGTTGACTCTATGTGAATTAAGATTGGGTTTTTTCAAAAGTAGATATATCGATTATTTGATAATTAAATTAAACAACAACTGAAAACAAAGTTCTTCGTATCATTCCTAGATTTGCTTTTTTAATTATTTTATTTCATCTAGGTTTTCTAATGACCCACCCGTTTTAACACCGCATATTTATTTCACAAACTATTTTAGAAAAACACGAGAAAGTTTGACGCACTAAAGGAACTTGCGATAATTTAAACCAAAAAAAAAGAACCCTCTTTAGCTCAGTTATCTTGAGTTGTATTTCGTGAAATCAGTGGCATCGTACTTCCTTTGAAAAACTAATTTTTCGGCTTTGGGTATGGGGCTGAGAATGTGAGAGAAAGTGCCATCATCGGTTAAGAGTCCGTGTGCCAAGTTTCAGCTTGGTAGGTTGACGAAAAGTGGGTCAAGTTACCCGTCCGAAGATTTTTCCAGCCGGCCAGAAACGAATAAAGTTGATTTAATAGAGACTATTTTTTTAAAAAGATCTAACGTCTCCTTTTCTCTAATATGCAACGAACTCTTCTGCCCTGTTTCACGGTGGCATTGCCTTAGTCAACCGTTTGTGCCAAAAAATAACACACTGTAAGGAGCAGGCAGTTGCCGGATCACGGAATAGAGATGACGTTGTACAAAGCTACGTCGTCTGAGAAGATACTTTCGTTCATTTTATAACAAAGCCTTACGAAACAACAGTCGCAGTAGAACGAAAATAGCAATACCTTCCTGAACCAGACTACGGTTGAGACTCATAGGCGAAAAAAACATGCCCGAAGTGAAAGGACGGCCCATGAACCAGTTCTGGTTTGGCATCAGCCCAGAACAAAGATGTCAAAAAACAGTGAGATAACAACAACAAAAAAAATCCTTAAAAAGAAAAAAATTAAGACGTCACGCATGAAACTTTCTGCCTGGCAGTGTTTTCTTCACTAAGTACTATTAATATAAAACATGTGGCGTTTTGGGGGAGGGGGGGCGTTTTGAAGAAGAAGGAAAAAATATATATAAGAGAAAGAGATAGGACATTTATAAGTTAGGTTATCTCCAGAACGATCCTCAATTCTTGAAACACATGTTCACATTAATTGGAAAAAAAAAATATTTCAAGTGCCAACGAAGAAGCGACATTTTAGAATCCATGCAAACACATGATTTGAGATCAGGTAGCGAGTGCGATGGGCATTGATTTTTAAGAAAAATGGCATAAATATAACGAGCTGAAAGGGTGTTTAAGGGTGTTTTAAGTAGTTAGTTAAAAATTGTCTATCTTCTTTCTTGAGAATTATATTGTTTTTAAAACACGAATTTTATGTTCAAGTATAGAGTTAACAAAATTGAAATATGGAATTATTTTAATGAGGGTCGGTGAATAGTTGAATAATTCAAAAAAAAATTATATCAATGATTAACGTACTTAAATTTGGCCTGATGATTATGCCGCCACCGAGCAGAAGTATGAACGCAGGCATCAGAGCCTCGTGACACAGATTAAAACAGAGCATTGCCAGACGCGAAGCTCCTTAAAGAGGTTAAATACGCTTATGGACTCGAGATGTCGCCTCTGTGATCTTGTTACTGAAACGTTAACGCTGTTACTAGCCGATAGGCCCCCCATAATAGGAGGTGGAAATGGGAGAACCCTCCTGAAACCTGCCTTGATCTAGTGATATATGACGAAGCCCACCAGGTGCGGCTCACTTGTGAGATATTACAGTGTTAGCCAGAGTCGTATGTGTGTAAGCTCGACCTTAAAAGAGATTGAATACATTTCTATAACATGTGAATGCTTCGGTAATTATACTTTATTATATTTAAGTAGTCGAAAGACTCAATTGTGTGTCGAAATAATGTTATAATGATATTTAAATACAATGTAGTGTGCAATAGCATGTCATTATAATATACTTTATTAACTTCACTATTAGAATGCTTCCTACAATCCCATTAAGGTACGCATGGCGCTCTCATATCTCACCTCTGAGTGCAAAGAGGTCAGTCTACTTTTACTTGGCAAAACTGGACATGGTAAAAGTGCTACAGGAAATACTATTTTAGGGCGAAGTGTATTCTCTACATCAGATAGCCCCAATTCAAAAACAGTCACGGCCATTTTGAATAGTTCAAAAAGGGATGATGGCAGTGTTGTCAGTGTCGTTGATACACCTGGTGTTATGGACACAGATTCCAAAAATAACCGTATACTTCCCAAAGTTTGCGAAGCGATGAGTTTGTGTCCAAAAGGAATTAATGCACTGATTTTTGTGGTAAAATTTGGAATCAGATACACAAAAGAGCAAAAAGAAAGTTTGGGAATTTTAAAAGAATATTTTGGATCAAGGTTCCTTACAGATTATGGTGTTGTCGTCATGACGCAAGGTGATTGTTTCGACCTCAATCACCAGAAAGACAAAATGACATTCAAAGAATGGCTGGAGAGACCGGACAAAAAAGAAGACGATGAATACTTGACTCAACTTCTCCAAGATTGCAATAACAGGTGTGTTCTGTTCTACAATGTTGGAAAAAAGTACGTGGACAAAAGAAAAGATTGTGTAGCTGAACTTCTAAACATTATACAAGCTGAGATGCCCACTCCTTATACTAGTGAACATATTGAACTAGCCAACGTTTTGAGGGAAAAAGTAACACTAAAACTAGGCACAGCAATGCTGCACACACCAATACAGGAAAATCTGAGTCTGCTTATTGATCAGATTCACAGAGACATACGAAACAACACGTTCTCATACGAAGCTATGATGAAAAATCTTGATGAACTTGAAAGAGAAGTTGATAGTGTAAAAGTAGAATTCAAAAAGCTCTCAGATTTTAAATCTTTGAAAGAAAGTGTAGCATCTGTAGCACGAAAACTACAACGCATCTTTTCACTTGAAGAAAGAGAGAAACAAAATGTTGAGCAAGAGCAAATCTTAAAGGACCTAGAAACTTTGAAAGAAGCCCCTGATAAAATCTTAATTTATTTATCAAGAGCTTTTTACATTTATTCGAAATCAGTGAAACCGATTGGTATTATTGGGAGTTTTGGTAAAAAAAGAGAATATTTCCAAGATTTAGAAGCTATATCAGAAAAGATGTTAAAGGAATCAATTGAGGAAGTTAAAAAAATGACTAATGAATATAACGAGGCCAAAGAACATAGAGCAAAATTTATGTAAATATTAGTAAGTGACAGTACGTGCAAGTTTTCCATTTAAACTCTACAGATTGATGGTCAACATTTTTCAGTTTAAAAATGTATATATTCACTTAATGTAATGTAACATAACTAATTGGAATGTACTTTTTAAAGTTTTACACTTTTAACACAAAATTGTCATGCTTATAAGTCTACAACTCTTCCACTAATAAACATTTACCTTTCAGTGTGGCTAATTAGACTGACCATCAGCCTAGAGAAAAAATTGATGTAACATGAAACATATTCCATTAAAGACTTAAGAGCATTGGCGATACAACGTGGCAGTGATCGAGCAATTTAAATACTTTAGTTTAAATACTTTTTTAAAAAAACAACCTTTAATCTTACAGAAAGAGAAAACGTTGAGTATACAAAATATGTGTGGTCAGCACACTTTATTCTAGCTGTGAACGTTGTCTAAGTATAACAACAACCAGTTTGCTCCCAAGAGCTTATATCTCAGATGTATAATGTTCATCTTGCGCATTCAATTACAGGACAAAGAAGCCCATGTGTATCAGGTTTTCCACTCATAACTTGACGGGACTTTGGTGGCAACCCAATGTCTGAAAAGTGGCTACAGGAAACATTTTAATTACCATGTGTATAGGGAACTCGTAGAGATAGGAAGGGTAATGACAGTCGTAACGAAACTAAAAATATACCTCCAAATCAAAAGAGTCTCTTCAGTTTACAAGGAAATCCAGTTACTTTTATCATAAACTAATGACTTTAATTTATAAAGTGTTTTACAAATACGTTTTAAAAGCCAATAAACACTTGTCTTGCTCAAATTTTAAAGTTACTTTCTTGTTCTGTTTCAAAGAAAGAAAGTAAGACTGTTTACTTCTTTTCTTTTCAATCTAAAATAGTTTCTTTGCTAATGGAATATTTAAAATAAATTTAAAAGGTTTATCTAAGAGGGGTCCTCGGTAGTCTGAAAATACAGTATCTCACTAATACAATCACAATCACAGTATTTAAATTAAAATGTTGCTTATGACACAAAACTATAAATTATTCCATAAAAATCATTATCTGTATGTGAGATAAATTTTGATGTAAGAAGTGGGTAAAAGATAACATTTGGAATAGTTATAAAATAAAAGTTAAATGAGCAATGCTACATTTCTTTCTACCTCTAGCAATGGCTGCCAAATTACCAGTTGCTGACGTCAATGAGATCAGTCTACTTTTACTTGGCAAAACTGGACATGGTAAAAGTGCTACAGGGAATACTATTCTGGACTGGGAAGCCTTCGAAAATTCAGACCGTGCGGGTTCCAAAACCAAAACAGCAAATCTGAATTGTTCAGTTATAAATGATGGTACTGTCGTCAGGGTTGTTGATACACCTGGAGTTATGGACACAGAGAAACAGGAGGAATGCATCATTTCAGAAATCATGGAAGGAATGAGTTTGTGTCCCAATGGATTTAACGCCCTGGTTTTTGTAATAAAATTTGGCATCAGATACACACAGGAGGAGAGAGAAAGTTTAAAAATTTTTAAGAAATATTTTGGACAAAATTTCCTTGAAGATTTCGGTATTGTTGTGATGACGCAAGGCGATAGCTTTGACCTCAATCATGAAGAGGACGGTTTAACATTTGAACAATGGTTGTTGGCAAATGAACGCGTGGAACAGAGCGGACCATTTGATGAGCTTCTTAAAGAGTGCAAAAACAGATGCGTCTTGTTTTATAATTCTGGAGATGAATATATTGATCAAAGAAAAAAAGGATTGGAAAATCTGTTTAAACTAGTTAAGCAAATTTCAAACGTTTATAAGAGTCATCACATAGAATTGGCAAAGAGGGCCAGAGAAGGCATGATAAAAAAATTGGACTTACCTGTGTTATTTACAACTATTCAAGAAAACTTGAGCCTGCTCATTGATCAGATTGAGAAAGACTTACGAAACAAAACTTTCTCATACGATTTTATGTTGAAGAAAATAAAAACTCTAAGCGAAGAAATTGATGACGTAGGTAAAGAATTCAAAGAAGGCCACACGTCAAAATTATTGAAAGACATTATAGATTCCATATTAATTAGAGTTGAGGCCATTAAGAGTAAAGGAGAGAGAGAAAAACAAAGAGAAGAACAAGAACGACTGCTGACGTATCTTCAAACTCTAAGAAAACCCCCGGAGAGCTTCCCTATTTTTATAAAAAAAGCTTTTTTAAACATTGCCAAAATGTTGATGCCCATCGGCAATATTTTAACTTTAGGTAAAAAAAAAGAATATTTCCAAAATTTGTTTAAAAGATGGGATGATTCTCTAAAACAACTAAAAGCAACATATGAATATACAAAAGTAATGCATGAAAGTAATAAAAAAAAGACCCTCGCGGAAGGCAGCAAAAAGTTGCAATGATTTATAATCTTAGAGAAGTATCTGGCATAGAGTTTACAAAAATTGAATGTGAAAATTTTTCATGCTTAAAATTGATTTGATCAATTCAAAAAATTACTTTTCCGAATGATATCAATGACTGGTACAACGTCACGAATAAATGTGTTAAATAAAGTGTTATTTCGAGAACAATGTCACATATGTTAATGAATCTTAAAGGGATACATATTTTGATAGCATTTTTAAAAATAATTAACAAATGGGATAAAATGATGTAATGTTTAAAATAAAATAAGCAAATGAAAATAAAGTTATTAACTGGTGTATCATGTAGATAGTTAGAACAAATTCCAATGCATAAAAACAGTTAAAAATCACAACTCTTACAAGCCTTCGGAGAGGAATTTATAATATTTACTTTTAATAAACACACATTTTGACGTAAAACTTTCGATAGTTTTATTTACATTATAACAATATGCCTAAACGAATTGCAAAAATATATTTAGCCTGACTAAAAATTTCAACATTTTCGCCAGAACCACTTTATCTGATATTTTTAAAGCTAAATAATAAAATTTGTACATTTTTTAAAGACTTAATATTAAAAGACGTAAGTAATTTGAGATTAGTTAAATAATTGACACCTAAGTTTATCTATTTTGCTGTGCATATTTCATATATTTTTGTAAATTTTTAACGTATACATTTATTAATTTTTTAAATAAATTCACTTTAACTTTATTATTGGTTATATAACAAATATCTAGAAGCATACCTTATATGTATATCTGTGTTTGTGTATCATAATATGTTTTAAAATCTACTTTGCTTTACATTTCCTCGGGGCCTAAAAAGTCATACACCAACACAAGGCAATGAAAAGTCAGTATTCTTTTCAAAACGTGTAGCAACAGAATATGTTATGTTATTATTTAATAAATGTCTTGATGTGTATAGATTACAATTTAAAATTAATTTTCATGCTGTATATGTTTCGATGTTCCATCAAATAGCTAAACAATGGTTTTAAACTTAATAAGATTATTGTTTACAAATAAGTAATAATTTACGTATACATTTGTTTACGTTTTAGTTGCCCAAGACGTCATTACCTGCAACAAAATATCTGTTTCAATATTTAATTGTTAGAATTTCATCAATTTTATGGGCTGCTTTTATATGTAGCATAGGCTACATTAAAAAAAAAAAGTTACATTTTCACATTAATTGTAAAAAAAAAAACTTATGTAAAGAATTTGTACCAGAGAAGATAACTAAATTAAACTATTTTTTTCAAAAAATAAAAAAATAGCAAGACAATAATTTTCATAATATCAAATTCTTCATTCTATATAACTAAGAGTTTCCAAGAAAATGTGAAGCACATCACATTAGACACACACAAAAAAAAAAAAGAAAGTGTAAAAGTCTTTTAAAATATGAAGCATATATGTGTGATGAATATATTACTAGAAGTTAAGACTCGGCGTTACCCGGGTAGTATTGGAAAGCATAATCAAATTCTTCATTCTATATAACTAAAAGTTTCCAAAAAAATGTGAAGCACATCACATTAGACACACACAAAAAAAAAAAAAAAAAAGAAAGTGTAAAAGTCTTTTAAAATATGAAGCATATATGTGTGATGAATATATTACTAGAAGTTAAGACTCGGCGTTACCCGGGTAGTATTGGAAAGCATAATTATTACGATTTCTAACTGCTGTTACGAAATAGCTCTTGTGTATGAAACACAATTTATTATTAACTCTACATTTTTCAATACAACTGCAGCCAGATAGCTAACAGCTTAAATCTTCTCTTCTCATCTGTAACTAAATAGGTTTTTGTGAATTGTATCCTCAATAAATATTAACGACATTTTCCGGGCCCGTGAAATTCACATTTAGGAAATAGTAAATAAGATTATTCCTTATTTGACTAGAAATATTATATTATATATTAGTTTAAATTTTGTAAATCATTGATTTTCAGAAAATGGTAATTCATAAAATGTACTGTATTTACATTTTCTGGCCTATGAATAATAAATATATAATTTAAAAAAATTTAAAAAAAAATGTAGAAGCACACAATGTGTTAGTGTTTTACTTTAAAAAAAGATATTTACTAGTTAAAATTTATTTTGTACTAACGGATATTAAAAGTGATATCTTCTTTAAAAAACACATACACATATGGCGAGCTCCTAAAATATATGTACGGCAAATCGTAGAAAAACATGGAATTCTGATATCTTAAGTGTAACATCTCAGTATTTAGAAAATCCTACAGATAGAATTTGAGAGCTTGCACGAGAAACAAACGAGCCAAAAGGAGATCAGAAGATGGCTAAATTATGTCGTGCCAACAGAAAGTGAGACATTGGAGTAGAAATTTTAGTTCACTGTGGACGTACATGTTAATTGTGGATCAATAAGGAGTTATTATATATTTTTGAGCTGCATAGCATAATATGATATTATTCCAAGGATTATTTATTATATGTATGTAGATATTGTGTTTCATGAAAAATCAGTGCCGTCTTAAGGCATTGGCCCACTAGGAGACTCACTCTTATAGAGGCATCATGCTTTACATATTTTTAATAAATATTAAAAGGTTTTGACAATTTAATTGGATTTAAAATTCCCAATTTACCAATTTTAACCCTCGATATAAATGAGCATATTCCAAAATGTAATATTATAAATGCGAATAAAAGTTGGACACTTTTAAGACTTTTAAAGCGGAATAACTCCCGTCAAAAAAGAAATGAAAAATGAGGTAGGGGGCGTCAATTAATTACGTCAACAATTTTTGGTAAATTTAAAGAAGATATGCCAATTTTTTTTCCAATTGCCGCTATCTTGGTTGACAAGATTAGCTAATTCTGTCACTAAATCTGAGTAATTGTATCCCTAAACCTAACCTGAACCCTAATTCAGTACACACGCAAAAGACGCCGTGGCATTCGTTCTTAATTTTAGCCTAATTTTTAAGCAATTTTGTACCCCCTCCCCCACCCCCCCCCCCCCCCCCCCCCCCCCCCCCCCCCCCAGCANCCCCCCCCCCCTCAGTAATTATGTCAACATTTTTATACCCCCGCCCCCACAAAAAAAACAACAACAAATAAAAAAAATAAATAAATAAATAAAATATATAAATACATTTTACTTTGTGCTGATCTATTTTAATTTAAAGAATCAGCTTCAAAATAAAATCGGACAAATAAATCTTGGACTGGCTTTCACGTATGTGCATGTAAAATAAAATAAAAATATATCTGCAAACAACGCAAAAAATTATGTTGATATTTTATTAAATAATTTATTCTATCTATCTGTCAATTATGAAAATTTATCAGCCTCTTTTATTATTTATAGCTGATTTCTGATAATGTTTTCAAACTATTATTGATTTTAAACTGATTTAGCTTTTTGTATCAATAAATTGAATTCACCGAACACTTGAAATGTTGCACAGCGAAGCTATACTCTTGCAGCATGAGGACCCATCTACATATACGGGAGTTGCTACAGTTGGCTCTTTGTAGGAATGACATCGGCTTGTGATCACAGAGAAGTTCAAAGAACTGCACATAAAAAAATTTAGAGAGCCGCTATACAGACCATACAATTGCCAGGCACAATCTCTCTCAATAACAGAATAACGTTGCTCTCTCGGTAAAAGTTTTCGACTCATAAATCTGACGGGATGGAGTATTCCTTCTGAACTCTGCATCAAACAACAAGAAATGCCAATATCTGAGGCATCTGTTTAGAGAGTAAATGGTTTTGTAAGATCGGTTAGTTTAAGAATGAATTCACTAGCCAGATGTGTCTGAATACTTTTCAGTGCACCATTGCATTCAAGGTTCCAATTAATTTTGAAGGTTCCCTTTTCGATTGTTTGGATAAGGATGAACAATATCTGATAATTTGGGGAATAAATTTGTTATAATAATTAACCAGTCCCAACAAGCTCCTCAATTCCTTCTTAGTTCTAGGGGTACTCAATTGGAGGATTTGCTCGATATTTTTTTTAGATCACGTCCTTGCTTCCCCGTTCGTACACTGTGCCCTATAAAGGTAATTTTAGAGAAGCCCCGTTTTAGTTTGTTAGGTTTTGTTGTAAATCCTAATTCCCTTAGTTTTATAAAAAATCGTATGTTAGGTTTCAATACGATCCACAAGTTTAATCAAAATAGGAAACCACATTGACGATGCCCTTTAAAAGTGTTGTAATAACTCTTGAAAAATAGAGGGACTCTTTCTTTATACCAAATGGTAAATAACAAAATTGAAAATGACCCAAAGGTACTCTAAAAATCTGGGAAAGACTTGCTATTTTCGGATATAGGAATCTGCTAGAACCCTCTAGTAAGATCTATTTCGAAAAATATGTGGCTCCATATGATGCCGAGAAAATATCCCCTGGGTCAGGAATCGACCTCGGTGTCAAATTCTGTAAAGGAATTTAGTTTGCGATAGTCAACACAGGTGCGAATAGATCCGTCTTTTTTAAAACCAGTACAATCGGGGGTGGCATAAGGTAACTTACTTTCGTCGATGATCCTTAACTTAACATATTTCTTTTTTCTTGGTTGGAAATTTTTGATAAGTTTAATGTAAATGAGAATTGTTTTAAATCTTTGGATTAGTTAGAAGTCACAGTGATTTTAAATTCTTCAACGCTGTCCTTTCCTGGAATGTCATACATACCGTCACCACATGTTGTCAGTAATCTAGTAGTGTCGTCGATTTGACATGGTGTCAAATGAGTATTAATCGCAATTTGATTGAGTTTGTCATTGTCTTTGTAAGTCTGGGTTGGTAAAGAGGTAATGTCAGAAGTAATTTTTAATTAGTCATATCAGACCTTTCTGAACGTTTGATGCAACAAAGAGACTGATGTCTGCATTCGTGTTATCACACATGGACTACTGCAGTACTCTTATGGTGGGTCTTCCAGCTATACGCTCCTTGATAAAATTCAATAAGCAAATAATAATGCGGCTCGCAATATCTTCGAAAACGCAGATTCGATCATGCTAAAACACTTCTGAGAGAGTTTCATTGGCTGCCGGTCCACGCTCGCATAGATTACAAAATTGCAACTCTCCGCTAACGCTGCTTGCATGACCTGGCACCGTCCTATCTCAAAGCACTACTGACGCCTTATGTACCCACTAGACAACTCCGCTCATATGATAGTGGCAAACTCTCGATAACACGCGTTCGCCTTGAGACTTACGAGGGGCGCACTTACCCATTTGCTGGCCCAACAATTTGGAACACCCTTTCAGTAGCTCTTAGAATTAGCGAGACACTGGAGTCTTTCAAAACTGATTTGAAGACTTATCTATTTCGCAAACACCTGCTGGGATGATGTTGTCTATCTAGTTGTTATCTTGTAGATGTATATTGGCCTGTGTTGTTTTTGGTTGCAAAGTATGAAAGACTTAGAATTGGTATTCTCGTATGTAGTTTTTGTAATGTTGCATTTTGTACTTCAATGTGGTATGTACCAAGCTTTG